TCAAAGCCATGGTTGCAGTTGTAAAGCAGCAAAGAAAACCCACCAAGAGAAGTTCCAGAAGGGTGTAGGTCTGGAGTTGGCTGTAGGAAGCCCAGCACATCACCACCAGATGTAGTTTTTGTACAGATCCTTGCACCCATCCAAGTGCATACGAGGCAGCTGCGTCACCTGCTCAAGCATCAAAGGTTTAGTCTTCAAGGTCTCCAAGTGCAAAGCCACCTCTGAGCACGTCCTTCAAAAGCCGTCTGAAGAAGTCTCGCTCAGTTAGCAGGGTCAAAACAAGCTCATCTTTTGAAAGCATTGAGCACTGATGTGACCAACCTTGCATCCTGGAAGAAGCAACGGGAAGTACTGAATTTTAGGCAAGTGGTTGCCTTGAACTTTGCCTTGCTTTGCACAGCAACTAGAGGGCACAACAGTCCAAAGCAAAAACTGAGGCTCCTGGGAAAAAGTGTTTTCCTATAGCCCTTAATCCTTCATGCATCCCAGGACCAGGCCAGCAGTTGGGTTTGTTGCCCTTGAGGAGGCCAGCAGCTCTACTTGACCCAGAAGATAAATATATCTTTTTTCTTATTACCTTTTCCATTCCAAGTTTACTATATTATCTTCTGGGCGTTTTATTTTCTTAATCTTCTTCTCTGTGTCTCTTTGGGCTTTTCTTCCAACCTATCTATTGGTGCAGCCAAACACCTTCTTCATCAACGCATGCCAGGGTCACTCACCTTTGTGAAGTGGCTGATGAAGTCCTCCTTCCCTCCAGACACCTCGTCGAGACGAGTTTGTTGAGATGCTGCCATCAAGCCACAAACGAAGCCACTGCAGATTGAGGGAAGGCCTCATTTCTTGCTGTGCCTCCTCACGCACCAGCTCCCATAGACACTGACAAAACAGAAAAAAAAAATCAAGTTTGATTGTCTCTCACTTGGCTTAAAGTCCAGCTGACACTCCAGTGAAGATTGCAGATGACTGCAACACCACAAAGAACAACCACTACTTTTTTTCCCTCACCTAACAAATGGCTTGAGAAATGGAAAAATCCCTGCAAGCAACGTGCTAAGTTCGTCCAGACTGGGAGCAGAAAAACAGCCCAAAACATCATGGTATTCCCGTTAGATTTGCTGTGAGATGTCATTCATAAATAGCGATATCCCTGGGACTCTGTCACTATGCTGAAAACATCTGCAAAGCAGGAGTGAACGTGGATAACTCAGGGCCTGTTACAGACTCAGGAAAACTGAGAGAGCTTGTGGTATATTCTTAATTTCCTGCGAGGATTCGTTTGCTTACATGCTTTAAGATCTCCTCTTAACTCAGCTGTGCAAGCATTCACTTGCCTGGAGTAATCCCAGATTGGGAAATTACTACAGAAATGGTCAGGGAGCCAAAGACAGAAACATTACCCGAGTCTCAGCTCCTCTGGGAGCAGGGCACTGCTGCAGGACAGAGAGAGTGGGAATGGAAGGAGAGGAAGGAAGGAAAAGAGCAGGGTAGTGGTGGGGGGAAAGAGAGAGAGAGAAAGCAAGCAAGCAGAAAAGAGGAAGAGACAAAGGAAGAGAGGAAGAGAGGAAGGAAGAGAGGAAGGGAGGGAGGGAGGAAGGGAGTGAGAGAGGGAGGAAGAGAGGGAGGGAGGGAGGGAGGAAGGAAGAGAGGAAGAGAGGGAGGGAGGGAGGAAGGAAGAGAAGAAGGAAGAGAGGAAGGAAGGAAAGAGGGAAAGAAAGAAAGAGGGAAAGAAGGGGCAAGAGAGAGGGGAAGAAAGAAGAAGAAAGAAAGCAGGAAACCAAGAAATAGAGGCAAGGTGGTTAAAAACAGGACAGAGACACAGTGACCTAGCTAAAACAGCAAACAGAAGAAATATTGGCTGGTCTTCACATCTTTATCTACTATTCAGGGCCAAGACTTGCACCCTGCCTGAAGAAACTCCTGGGTAGACAGGCATCGTCCTTCGTCCCTCACGTGGCCTCCCACCATCGATTGTCCTCCTCTGTCCTCTCCTCTGCCCAGGCCTCCTCCTTGCTGCTCTCCCTCTGAAACGCTCAGCATAGTTAAAGAGCTTCGCTGCTCCTGGTTGCAGGAAGGGGTGGGGGTTGGGGTGCACCGTTCCTCCCGGCCCATCTCCGGGCTCAGGTCTTCAACACACTTTGTGCCACCTGTTTGCTAAGCTCAGCTGCTAGCACGAACGTCTGTTTTTCCAAGGGCGTTGAGCAGCTCCGGCACCACCTAATGCCAATGACACCTCCAGCTTGCCCCTTTCACTCTGTCCACATCTCTCTACACATTGCTACCTCCCTCCCCAGTTTTCCCCTCTATGTTAGCACTTTCTGACATTCTGCCTTCTCCTTTTGGGAAGTCCTTCTGCTTTCAAACACAATGCCTCCAGCATCTTTTCTCTGGTCTGTAGAGTAGGAAGCTCTCCACCAATTACTGAGATTAGCAATATCATTGCTAATAAATGTTTATGATTGGGTGAAGGGTCATGGCAAGCTATAAATTTTGCAAGTCCACAAGTAACACACGCGTCCACAGAGATTCACCTCACACAGCCAAGAAGAACAACATTTTCCAAGGAGGTGTTTGACTGTTTCCATCTTGGAGTAGCAATTGAGTTGCGAAGCACACATTGATACACGTTCCTCAGGAAAACTCAGCTAGGACAAGCCAGAACCTTCCCCAGTCCATCACCAGCATACTAAGTGGGTTATCAAAGCCTACAGATGTGGCAGTGGGGCAGCCAATGCATGCTGAGCTATGTCTGATGAGTCTGTAAAGAGTTGCTCCTCAAAGGGAAGGAGGGTGAGGGCACTTGCCTCCAGCCCCCTGGTAGCAGAATGTGTCCAAAGGGTCTTTCCCTGGGCAGGGGTTGGTTACATCCACATTCAAAATCTACATCCAAACCATTCTTTTCTTTTTCTCCACGGCAGGAAAATGGGCAGAGGAAATACGGAGGCCCACCACCTGGTTGGGATGGCCCTCCACCAGAAAGGGGATGTGAGATCTTTATTGGGAAACTGCCCCGAGACCTCTTTGAAGATGAACTTATACCATTGTGTGAAAAAGTAAGACTTTCTGGTGGGTAGTTGTTTCGCAGAGGTCAGTGAACCATCAAAAGTACATTTCAAGCCTGAACTGGGGATGACTTGGTCCAGAATAGTGCTGGAGCTCCAACGCGACAGAGCCAAGGGAGCACCCGGTCTTGTTCGAACACCTCCCACCTTGCCGACAAACCTTTTTCTCTCTGTTTGCAGATTGGCAAAATCTATGAAATGAGGATGATGATGGACTTCAATGGCAACAACCGGGGCTACGCCTTTGTGACCTTCTCGAACAAACAGGAGGCGAAGAACGCAATAAAGCAACTCAATAATTACGAAATCAGGCAAGTATGGCAAACACTTTCATATCAACTTGAAATCACACGTATTTATCTATTTTGTTACGTAAGACATATTTCTCCTTGCAGCCCAGAGGGAGGTTATTTAGGTATCTAAGCTTTGAGTGGAAATCATGTCTCTTCTCCCTGTGCAGTCATTGTTTTATGCAAAAGCAGTACGTAGGACTCATCAGAGTCAAAATCTTTTGCAGGAAGTATATTTCTACCAGAACACTGAAAAAAATATTTTGCTTTGGATCAAATTAACTTTCGCTCAACCATTGCTGTTTATTTCACATTCCACTCTGGGCTGTTTTTTGTGGATTTATTCCTATCTGCAGTCTCTCTCATGTCCTGTACTGCAGATCTGTTCTGGGAGATGGAGCAATTGCAAAAAATTGGTGAAATAGGATGGAAAACAACTGGCAAAACAGTGACATTTCCTAATAGGTGGGAACAGAAAAAGTCCTCATGTTTGTGACTAACGACTGGGAACAAAACAACTAGAAATCAACAACATATGGGCCCATCAATATGTTTTGTTTTGATTTCAACCACACGTAATGTTTTTTTCTAGTTCAAAATGGGATGCGCCTTTGCTTAGAAGCATTCAGAGACAAACGATTCTGGTAATTTTATGGCTTTGATTTTTAGTGAAAAATGGGTTTAGTGGGTTGTGAATTGCTTTGCTAGCAACCCTAAGGATGAGCACGTCACAAGGCACACAGGGAGGACTTGGAAACATTGTTTGCATCAGAGGTTGGAAAGTCCTAAAGTCTTCATCCATCTCCACCTCCTCTGCTTACTTCCCTTCTTCCAAAGACTCCTTTAAAGAAGTTTTTAACTTTTCAATACCTTCAAGAGGTACTTGGAAAATGAAGAAGTGAGCAAAGTGTATGCAAGGAAATTTTTACTTGGGGGTCTGCACAACAGTTGGCATCAATAAGACCCCAAATAGTGTCTCTCCACCGAGGAGATGAGGGCTTTTCTTTCCCGAAAACCTCAGTCAGGAGGTCCAGGAAGCTACAAGTCACTGGTGAACACAATGAATACTGGCTTACACCAGTGGCAACACAAGAGTCACTGCTGTGACCATGGGTGGTAGGTACAGTTGCCTGGTAGCAGCCATTTTTGTAAATAGCAAAAGGGAGAATCCCAGGAAACAAAAGCAAATTTTGGCTTCGGTGTCCCCCTGACCTCAAATCCTTCCTTTCAACTGTTCTGCCTTACTTTGATGTCAAGTTTAGCAGAGTGGCAGCCTTGATCTTAGCTTTTGTGTTGAGCAAATCTGCTTGAATATCCCGAATGTATGCCACAGAAGCAGGAGGCCTTGTATTTGACCTTGTGCTTTGGGACAAGAGCGAGGGTTTATTTTAGTTTTTTTCCTCTCTTTGAGAACTGATCCTGACTCCTGACAAACCAGCCATGTTGTTTATACTCAGGAACGGGCGTCTCCTCGGAGTCTGTGCCAGCGTGGACAACTGCCGCCTATTTGTAGGAGGGATCCCCAAGACAAAGAAGAGGGAGGAAATTTTAGCGGAGATGAAGAAAGTCACAGACGGAGTCGTGGACGTCATTGTCTACCCTAGTGCAGCTGATAAAACCAAAAACCGTGGGTTTGCTTTTGTGGAATATGAAAGTCATCGAGCAGCAGCCATGGCCAGGAGAAAATTGCTCCCAGGTTAGTACAGATGGTGGGGCTGGTAGGGATGGCTCCATCCCAGGGGTCACCTACATACACGCTGCAGTGTGGTGAGACCAAAGTCTCCAGGAGACCCAAGAACCCAAGGAAGGGAATCCTATCAGGTTTTCTCGGCTGCTAGAGACACTCAGAGCAAGGAAGGACCCTGGGCTTATCTTGGGTTATATATGAAATAGAGCCTCAGTGATGGCCTCTCAGAGAGAATCACTCAGGAAAGCATCCAAGGACATTTTCAGTCTTGAGAATGTCCTGAAGATATTTCTGAAAATGGATTCTTCCTGTGGGGGAAGAAAACTTTCAGTGAGGAACTGCATTAGGCTTTAAACAATGTAAAGAGTAAGTTTATGCAAATTAGCACTGGGGGAGATTCAAAGACCACTGTGAAGCAGAGAGAGGTTTGACAGGGGTTAGATGAAGGAACCACTTGGCACGAAGTACATTTGCAGTGATTTCACCAATTCTCTTGTGATTTCTTATGCTCAGCATCTCCTGCACTGCTTTGTCCAACCCAGTTCTCTTGCTGGTGAAAGAATCCAATGAACCTTCTGCTTTGAGACCTGTTCCTAACCCACCAGCCTTCTCTCACTCTTCATATACAATAACCCATGAAACAGCCTGAGCAATTTAAATGATTTTTTCTTATTGCAAAAAAACCCCACAAACCACAATTTTGAACTTAGCTACTGTGAGATAGCTCACACCGGCTATTTTTACCTTTTATTCTGCATTTTCTGCATGGTTTTAGCATCTCCCTGATTGTGGGAATACGTCTGTCCTTCAGCACAACTTTTCCACAGTTTCTGTATCAAGAAGGAAGGAAGGAGCAGGTGCAGCCGTGGCTGCCACCGGCAGCCTCGAGGGAGCAGAGCAAAGACAGTGAGGCAGATGGAACGAGCACGTAGCCCTGAACAGACATGTGCAACGTGCTAGCGACTGCCAGCTTAGGGCCATCTAAACAGTTTGGGGGGTTTCAAAAGACTGAGCAGGAGCCAGAGTTTTCTGATGTTGCAAACATATGGGAGGAACTTGTAAAAGAAAGTTTCAAGCCAGAACGGAATGTGTCTCCAGCTGATGCATCAGATGGGTGTGAGGTTGAGTATCATTAGAGAGATGCCTCCTTTGCTCTGAATCTTGCTGCTCTACGTAGAAGAGACAAAAAGGAAGATGCTTTTTATGAAAATGCTGTTCCATCTCCTGGTTAAATGAGAGGGTGGAGGAAGACTGGGTGTTAGCAAGAGGCTAGTGCAGGCACCAAGTTTATAGAATCATAGACCCATAGAACAGTTTCGGCCGCAGATACAGTACATGAAATTTGAGGCTCTGGGTATTAGTGCGCGACCAGATTTCAACCACTCCTGCAAGATGTGCAGCAGGGACAGAGATGAAGAAGAGGAGGAAAGAGTTACTATTGCCACCCGGAGATGAAGAAACCATCACTATCATCATAGACTGGCCTAGGATGGAAGAGACCTTAGAGATCATTTTAATCCAGCCTCACTGTCACCAGGGACACCACCTCTCGACTAGATCAGGCAACACATGGGGACCGAGCGGGAATCGAACCCGCGACCTTGGCATTGGTAGTGCCACGCTCAACTGACCAAGCTAACCAGCTGAGCAGAGGTCCCTCTGCCTCCACGGTGTCCTGCTGCCCACCGCTGTGATTCCCACAGCTCTGAGACGAGGCTGTGGCCGTCAGGTTGTGTTACATGTTAAACATCACTAAATGACTCGACGACTTAACAGATTAGGTGACTCAACGCAAATGACTATGGATCACTGCGCGATAAAATGGCGACGTCACCTCTAACTACCTCTTTATTTGCCATTTTTATTTTCTGCCCCTCAGCAGCTCTATCCAGCACGTACCAAGCCCACGGGCTTCTCCTCCATGCCCACACTCTGCTTCATGCCTCCGTTACTTTTTGTGTCCCTCCTTCCTACTCCTTCTGCTGCAACTTCACCCAGTGAGGACCATGCAACTTCAAACACCTGCAGATAGAGGCATCCTGGCTCTTATTATTTTGCTTTATCCAGGTGGAACTTCTCGATCCTTTTCCTATTATTTAAGGAATTAAATGTTTGCAGCCAAGTGGGAATTCTATAAGTTCATTAAATAGTTCCCTTTACAGAGCACTTCAGGGAAGGGGGACGTTAGTGGATCGTGAATCATGTCGTATTTTCCCTGCTTTAATTCTGGATGCTGCATTTCTGCAGGCATCTAAGGTGTTGGTGGGAGCACGCGCAAACTGCGAGCACCTGCTTTAGGAAATGAGTTAACGAAGCAGCCATGCTTTGAGCCAGAAAGGCTCATTTCAGTCACGTTTGTAGAACTGGCCTATTGCGCTGTTCACACAGCACGGGAAATAGTCTGTGAGCAGAAGCGAGAGGAACCAAAGGCTGTCTGAGGCTGACCATGCCAATTCCTTTAAAGGCAGGATCCAGCTGTGGGGACACCCCATCGCTGTTGACTGGGCAGAACCAGAAGTGGAGGTGGACGAAGACACCATGTCGTCAGTAAAAATTCTCTACGTGAGGAACCTCATGCTCTCGACCACTGAAGAAACCATTGAAAAGGAGTTCAACAGCATCAAACCAGGTAGGAACCCATTGACATTGTAGCTCTCAAATAGGTGCTGCTACTGCAAAACAAAATATTTCTCCATTCATAAAACGTCAAAGGAAGAGAAAAAAAAAAAAACGACTGGTTTTTCCGCTGTAAAATGTTCATGTGTAACACCACAAAAACTGTTGTTAGGCTGAAGGCTCCCACCCAACACACACGTCATGTCATCCCATGAAAGGCTGTTTAATTTTTCACATTGATTGGCAACTGGTAGAGATCCAAAATGCTGCCTGGGGGTGCCTGTGTCACAAAAATGGTTCTGAATCGTTTCAGACTTTCTTAGAACGAGAAAGCTGGCGAAACAGCTGGGTGATTTCAGCATTCTTCTTCTATGGCAAAGGATGATGACAGAAATAGAGTGACTCAATACAAATGCTTTCTATCCAATCTATCTGAATTCTGAATCCTATCACCTTCTTTTAAAAAACGCTGTAGATTTGTGAATAATCAGTGCTTATCATTTAACGCAGAATATGACAGTATTCCTTCGTGGCCTGTTTTACACGCACTTAGGGTGAGATTTTTCAAAAAGCAAGTAGATTGCTTGGAAATAAAAATCCTGCTGGCTTTCAAAGGAGACTTTACTCCTGAGTTGCTCCAGCTTTAGGAAATTCCACCCAAAACCAACAGAGTAAAAATAACCCTTTTCTGCAAGCTCTCCAAGCCACACAGTCCATTAAGCGTTAGTAACTTATGCTTGGCAATGGGAAATCGCCTTTCATCTCGTTCCTATTAACTTCCTTCCATTAATTTTTTAGAATACGCTACAGAGTTTCATTTTTCCTTCTCTAATTTTTCATTTCTGCTCAGCATATTTCTTCCTTTTTTTTTTCTTTTTTTTTGCACTAGGCTGCAATGCAAAGGTCTTTACCAATCTTTGCTGTCCTTACAATATTTCTGGCTAATACTTTGAGCCACTATCAAGCTGTTAATTTTACCCCCGAGTTAAATATATATCATCGCACTCTAACTGTTTCCTCCTTCATCTGCCCGGTTTTCTTCCTGAACACTGAGCTGCTTGCACTCCCCAGAAACACGTTTATGCCCATTTAACACTTTGGTAGCAGTAATCTGCTTTGCTCCTAAGACAAGTTTTCCGGTTACAGCATCGGAAGATCTGTGTCAGCTTTAATTTTTCTTTCAGCACTTTAGCATTTCACTTCTCATGCTGGAAATCATTTTGATTTATTTATTTGTATCAACAGCCTTATTTATTGTGGATAAAATCAGTAATGCCTTTTTTTAAGTTGTGACAGCCTTCCAAAAAACTGTGCACCGGCATAGTAAAGCCTGAGTTTGGGGGAGAGCAAACACAGCTGAAGTTAAAGCAAGATTACAACCAAACCAGTCAGAAAAGACCTGAAATTATTCACTTCCAGCCTTGGTTATCTGCCTTATTCATTGTATTGCATTTTAGTACCTCTTGCTTGAAGTGTGCATTTGATCCAAGACATTAAGCAGCTGTTTTGACAATAACAAGTCATCTAATAAAAAATGATTTCAACAAGAAGTGTAACAACCCAGAGGGCCCCAAAACAGAGCAATTACCACATCGCTACCAGCTCTGTAGACACAACCAGGAACACTGCTTGTGCATCTGAAGTTGTAATTCAGTAAAAATATCACCCCTTAAACCTGTGCCAAATTCAGAGCCTGGGGACTTCTATAGAGATATGCATCGCTTGTCTCACTGAACAGCCCTGCCCTTGCTCCCTAGACATTTTGACATGAATCCTTGTCCCTGGCAATGCTCTCAGCAGCAAGGTCATGCTCTCCAAATCTACTGAAGGAGACAATATTCCCCTTATAAAATCACATGGACGGTCTCTCCGCGGTGATGACCCGAGGGCGGGTATCACATCGCTTTGCCCCAAGCAGAGGCAGAAGGAAGGATCAAGGAGGCAGGAGAGGGATTTTCGAAACACAGAGAGTTCATTAAAGCCTTGGCTTGTAAACAGGCATCAGCATATAAGCCCCATAACTCCAGGCTTAGAAAATCACCCTCCGATCCCAGAAGGACACGAAGTGCTAGTGTAATTTTGAAAGCGTGCGGGCTGCTCAGGTTATGGGCTAGGACAGGCTTCATTCAGCCCTCTGGAGCTCCTAATGACTCCCCCTGAACTGCAAAGAAATAGATTTACTCATGCGGTTATTTAAGTAAGCATGTTTTTTGCAGCAATATGACATCCTCCCGTGCACCCTGTTCACCTTTAAAGGGTAAGAAGCCAACAGAAGAGTCATTCACCATCCCTTAGCTGTATTTACAAAGGATATGTTGGTGGTGTCACAGTTTCAGTGGCTGAGCAATGTGGTTCCCAGCCCACAGGAATGGGGCAGATGAACAATTAGGGGAGAAAAGGCAAATGTCTAAAGCTTATGACCACAGGGAACAGGGTCAGGGTAGTTATTTGGAGACGAGTTATTCAGAGACAGACCTAAGACTGCTGAGTACCTCGGTGCCAAGGAGTTTCTGGCAGCAGGGCAGCTGACGAGGGAAAGA